CCGCCACTGGAACTGTTGCATCACGGCAAACAATATACAGAAGGCTTAATGAAAAAGGCCTTTATGCCAGAAAGCCAAGGGTATGTGTTTTACTGTCTTCACGGAAAAAGAGGGATCGCTTTAATTAGTGTAAAGAACATCAAAACTGGACTGAACATCAATGGTCCCATGTTCTCTTTACTGATGAGTCGCGGTTTAGTTTAACTGGTGATTCTGAACGTGTTTACATCTGAAGGGAGTCAGGAACACGAAATGATCCCTCGGACATTGTGGAACGTGACCGTTTCGGTAGTGGAGGTGTGATGGTGGTACGGGGTGGAATAATGATCGATGGACGTACTCCCCTACACGTGTTCAGCAGCGGATCTGAGACAGGCCAGATATATCGAGATGAGGTCTTAGATCCTTATGTAAGACTTTTCAGGGGTGCATATGGACCTGACCTTTTATTTATGGATGATAATGCCCGTCCACATCGAGCAAACCTCGTTGATGAATTCCTTGAAAGTGAAGACATTAAGCGAATACCTTGGCCACCAAACTCTCCTGACCTTAACCCGATAGAGAACTTATGGGACTACCTTGGAAGAGCAATTGCACGTATACATCCTCCTCCTAGAGATGTAACTGCTCTGAAGACGGCATTGCTGGAAGAGTGGAGATTAATTCCCCAAACTGTGGTTAACAACGTTATTTCCAGCCTTAAAACACGTTGCGATATGTGTGTACAAGTCAGGGGAGATCATATTCCATATTAAATTCGTAATACTTAATTCTTTTTCTGAATCATTCCTTTTTTAACTCTCTTTGTCACACTTTATTACCATTTTTATTGTTTCATGGTACAATTTTATATCATATGAGGTGATCTTCAATTTTTTCTTTTGCATTTATGTGTCATCATGTTATGTACGATTCCACGAAAATTCATTAAATTATTAGTCTCTGAGAAATCCGTGAATTTATGCATGTAAACATAATTTTGGACATGAGTGTAATACAGGGAGATAATATTTGGTGGCAACAATATGAAGACTAATTCAATGCGTGTAGCGATTCGACGCAAAATGCCGTTTCGAGGTAAATATCCTTTCTGGGCTAATACTCCTTTGGGCTGTCGCCTGACTGGAAGTGTGAGAGGAAAATATAAATTTGCGAAGTTTGAGAATTTATTTAGTAACTATAAATTGTTTAGAAAATTTGCAAGAATATCATGCAAACTGTGAATGATAATAAGGAGAATATTGGTATCGAGATATAACTAAGCAGAAAATCATACTCAAAACAGGAATAATTGAAGTAACTTATAAATTTAAGATGAATTTTGATAATATAAAGAAGATTTGAATAATAATAACTAATTGAAAGTAAAACTTATAAAGATTTTAAACTTAGGGAAAAACACAGAAATGGAAACGACACATATATATACTACACTCACTTCCAAAAGTTAAGCACGGAGAGGAAAATGCTAATTTCTGGAAGCCAATCAGAATTGAAGAGGATGCAATTCGCTGCAGAGGTAGATGGAAGTATGCAAATATGTTAGGTAACAGCCAATCGCACTTTCATGTCAAGAAATATGCAAAAAAGAAGCTTTTAAGAAGCCAGCTTTATGAAGGGTTGCAGAAGTTGATTGTAAGTGCTGATAGAAGGTGTTTAAAACTTTAGTACAATTTGTTTTCAAGACATACGTATTTCTATGACTTCCAGAAGACGAATGGAAGATTCTGAGCGCTGGCGTGCTGTGGGGCGCATTGAAGCAGGACAGTCGATTACAGATGTAGCTCTTTTCTTCGGCGTTCATCATTTTATAATTTCACGTTTATGGAAACAATTCTAAACCACACAGACAGTTGTTTAGAAGGCCCGTAGCCGGTCGCCCAAGGGTTACAACCCCCGCGAAAGATCGATATATTGCTTTTGTAGCCCAGCGGAATCGCAGAGCGACTTCCACACGTATGACATCTATGGTTACAGCGTCCTTTGGTAAGCCGATATCTACAGCTACTATACGCAGAATATTGCATATGAGTGGACTGTACGCCCGGGCACCTCGAGTTTGTGTTCCTCTATTCTTCCGATCAAAAGGGGCACGATTACGGTGGTGCCGGGAACATGTCAATTGGAATGTGCCTGACCGGGGCAATGTCATGTTTACTGATGAGTCAAGATTTGCTCTGGAGCCAGATGACAAGCGTATAAGGATATGGCGTGAACAACGAACACGCAATCAGTCCCAAAACATCAACGAACATCACGCATTCCGAGGCGGAAGCATTATGGTGTGGGCAAGGATTTCATTAGGATACCGCACCGACCTGCACATCTTTTAAACGGTGTTCTTTGACGGCTGTCTGGTATCGAGATGAAGTCCTAGAACCCATTGTAAGATTATACGCTGCAGCTGTTGACCCTACTTTTGTTTTAATGGAAGATAACGCACGTCCCCATAGAGCTGACATCGTCGATGACTACCTGGAGAGTGAAGGAATTGCGCGTATGGCGTGGCCAGCATATTCGCCCGACCTTAATCCCATTGAAAATCTTTGGGATGCTCTCGGCCGTGCTGTAATCTTAACGTTTCCCACCTCCAGCCACTCTTTATATTCAGTTGGAAACTGCTCTACAAGAAGAATGGCGATTGCTTAATTCTGCGGTGGTTGACCACTTAATTGAAAGCATGGTCTCGAGGTGTTAACTTTGTATACAGATGAGGGGGGGATCACATACCCTATTAATGTCCTTTTTTTCATTTTATGCTGTTTATTTTCACTTTATACATAATTCTGTTTGTCTCCATCTGATTACTTACAAAAATTTAATATTGTTTTCATTTCTGTATATAATTATTGATTTTGTTTTATGCATAAATATACATGCTACTTTCCTGCCGAATTTTATGTAAATCAAGTCGATTATTTATTTTTTTTTTTTTTTTTTTTTTTTTTTTTCTTTTTGTGCTTAGCTTTTGGAAAGAGTGTATTTCACCAGAGTGTTTGGAATGGTGTATCTTGTGTTATTTTTTTTTTTTACCTTTTTTTTTTTTTTTTATGATCTTTTTCTTATTTTTTTTTTCTTATGCTTTGTGACTTGGCCTGTTCCCCTCATAGCCATATGGCAGGTTTCGCCTGCTAGGTGGGCTGGGGGGCAGTGCTTAGAACTAACTAACTAATCCCTTTGGGCTAAAAATTAACCCAGACTTCATAATCTATATGCCAAAAAATTAACTTCTCTTGAATGACGAACAGATTTACTGATTCTTCCCCCCTCGTAAGCATCAGTTAATTGACTTCAGTTTACGAAAAGGAAGCGATATGAGCCACGCAAGTTCGGTATATCCTGTTCGCAACTTCCCATTTCTCATAAGGGTAAATAATGTGCGAAAATTCAGAAATTCAGTGTCAGATAATATGTCGTGAAGTTCGTTGAGACAGACCTCGGCAACGGCCCCACCAACAGCCGAATTATAAAATTGCCAAATACTGGTAGTTCGACCAGAGTTCAAATCCCGGTCAATGCGGTGACTGCATAGCCGTTTCTGCAATTTTCTGCATATATAACGGAAATGCGAGCTAGTTTTCCTTAAAAAGTTCGGTAATATCCTAGGAGAGCCCACACCCTTGGCGACAAACTGGAAAAGTGCTCACTGCTTCGCGCGTTTCTCAAAATCGCCAACTTGAAAATAACAAGTCAAAGAATTGCACAAACTCGGTATCCATGTACACATCGACCTATTTTCACTTGAAAAAACATCAGAGAATCGCACAAACTTGGCACTGAACACTTCCTTTACTTTTTCCATGTACACATCGATACGTGACATAACCAAAATCATTCTTGCCAAGGGTGTATGCTCTGCTAGGAACGAGCCAAAAGTTCTTCCCTTTAGGCAGATCACCCTCACAAGCTTTGCCATCATCAAGAAACTAATTATATATCTTCAACTTTTACTTTTGAGATTAAAAGAATGAGGATATTTACGTCTGGTGATGCCGCCCAACCACTACAGTGGTTAGCGTCGTTGAATGCCGTGCCCAAAAGGCCCGGGTTTGAATCCCGGGATCGGAGGGATGTTAGTAAATGTAAAGTGTCCATGCGGCATGGGGGCATTCTAAATATGAGGCGAGCCGAAAGTTCTCTCGAGAGGTTGGTAGGGATAAAGGAGTGGGAGACTCTCGGACACGTGTCCCCCTGGGGTGCTCTCCATCAAAATTGGGGACGGAACTGAGCTAAATCGCACTGTCACCCGTAAAGTGCTCAAAGGCTGTTGCCAACAGCAGGCATAAACTTGCGCTCCTTGCCACGAGGAAATTCGTGGGCTTGGGTTGACTATAGACCAGACAAGTAAGCAACAAACACAACAAAGTCTGGTTATTTTAAAAACAAAGGCTACATTCACTTTACTAGAAGTGGCAAGAGTTAAGAACAGGGAAAAACTGAAGCTTGTGCTCTGAAGGCTCACTTTATTTAAAAGTATTTAACTGGCTAATACTTTTTGCTGCATTAAATAAAATGGTCTTGAGTATAACATTTACCATTATTATTGAATTGCCTAGAATGCAGTTATTTTATTATTAATCAAAAGTTTGAACTAAATCGTTTTCTAAATTTTTTAATTCATTCATTAAATTTTAATTAAATTTACTAAAAATTATTAATTTCATTAAAAAATTTTAATTTTTAATTTAATTAAATTCATTAATTTTTTTAATTTAGCTAGTCTTTTAGACTACTTGAAAATTCTCATCGTAATCTAGTAGAAATTTTCCGGGCTGAACTTTAATTTCGACTCTTTACTCTTATGCATCCCCCACTCAGAAACCCATACGCATATCAAATAACTAATAAAACTCCTCTTATATCATAAAGCAGATCATTTAGTTCATATTAAAGAAATCTGAACAGTGTAATTTATAGCTGTCTTAATTTAAACTTAATATGCGAAAGATTTCGCTCATAAAACAGCTTTATTTATTTATGTTTTTACTGTTTTACAGGCGGAATCAAGACGTTGAAGTAGCCTGCCAAGTTCAGTCGACATATGTGCCGCCCAGGGCAGCTCTCAGTGATAGTTCTGAGTGGAAATATATTGTAAACGTTCCAGAGAGGGACAGGAGGTTTAGTCAAGTCGTTAGAGTTGATGTTTGCATGTGAGTACAACATATCTACTCTACTTAATAAACACTTTAAAGCTGTCAAAGTATGCAAAATATTATATCTACCTATTATTAACTGATAACAGGAGTTATTTGATAAATAAATATTATACATTATTAATTTGTTGATAATGCATGAAGTTAAAGATATTCCTCAGAGTTCTAGCTCGCAGGTGGAAGGTTTCAGTTTCAGTCCTGCACAAGGGCATAGTTGATTTTCTATATTTTCCGCTTTAAAAACACATTAATATGCCAAATATAACAAATATGCTAAATTTCAAAACACGTCAATATATAATTCCACACGTATCTTAAGAAATTTTGAATAAAACAACTCTACTTTTTTTGCGGGTATGCTTAAAAATACATCTATTTTAAGACTATAATAAGAATTTTATATGTTATAACTCAAAAGGTTTTTTTTAATTCATAAAAAGTATAAATTTTAGAAATGAGTAATAAAAAATGGGCGAATTTTATTTGGAATGAACCTAAATTTCGAAATGGGAAAGAAGAATCAAATAAGTTTAATGAAAAAAAAAAAGAGATTTTAATAAATATATATCAAATTCAATTAATATGGAGGAGCTAAAATTTTTAGAGCTATTTTTTTAAAAACTACTCGTGCGATTTTTACAAAACTAAAATCGAAATATGGAAAAAGAATGACCCTTTCCCGCTCGTATACAATGAAAAAAGGAAGGGAAAATAGGTTGATATAAATTAAGAAGTTCCCCAAGTGAATTATTCTTGGCGCAAACTGAAAAAAAAATGCGCCAAGATAAATTTTTAAATTTCTCCACAAATTTATGGAGAAAAGTACAGAAGTTAATATCTAGGCATAATGAGTAGTAGAAACGAAATATGGAAAAAAGTGGGTACGTTATTTCAGAAAAAGTTCGATTTTGTGTCAAATCACCTATGTTAGAACAATGCTAAATATAAATCTAATATATATCCTAAGTTGTACTTTCGAGACATGACATATGCAACTTGAATTTGTCAATCGGCCCAGTAGAACGGGAAATATAGAACTGTCCGCCCTTTTTTTTGCGCAGTATATCTGCAGCGAATTAAGTTATCATCACATACGTATATCCACCCCGTTATCCGGCTTAAGTCTTTATCCGGCCTTCATTTTCGCAGCCGTTGGTCATATAATTCCGCTTATAAGTGTTTTAAATGAAGAAAATATCTATGGTTTTGCAATTTCAAACTAAAAATTTTTTTTGGGGACAAATAACGAAATCCAAGTTTTGATACGGTCTCCCTGTTTCTATACTTACATTTAAGAAAGTTTTATACTCATTACGAAAAAAATTAATTACATGAAGCTTAATTCCCATATGACAAAAATTGACCAGGATAATTTCCAAAATCTGCGTTTTTTAATATCATTTTCAAATTAGCTTGACGGATCAGTTAATTAAGCTAGAATAATCCGAGGAAACAAGTTTATATGAAGTGCAGCAAATGTGTATAATTTAATAGGCTTTATAAGGAAGCCATGTGGTAGCCACATCAGATTTTTTTAGAATATTATTCCGCACTATCATAAATAAACATGAATTTGGAAAATATAGTTGTAGAAATTATGTTTAGTTTTTTGATAATTCTGCTTCTGCGCTAATTAATTAAAGGACTAAAAATAATTACTTATTATTGTCAAATGAAAAAATACGTTGAAGAAAGACCTCCTAGAAAATATCAAACTACTATGTAATTGGATAAATCAAGATATAATCTCCGCCCACGGCAAGGAAAGACTTCGTATGTGAACATACAAACAAAGTCATAAATTTATCGATGGCATTTAGTTTTATACTTTCGTGAAATAAGAATGAGGATAAGCACTAAGAGGAAATAATGCTATTAGAGGGGAACAGAAGTGAGACGTTAGTGATTCGGAATTCGGACCGTCATAATAGAGTATCCACCTGCCCCAAAGGTGACTGTGAAAACTGTAAAAAGACAGAGTCTTGTAAGGGTTTAAGTCCCTTTTTATTCAACGTAATAAATTACAATTGCGTGCTCTTGACGCTCACAAACTGCGCCAACTCGGCGGTCAAATAAAAATAATAACCTGAAAAGAAAATAAAGACAAGACTTCTAACTACGAGGCTCTCTAAAAGTAACTAACCTCACCGCGTTTTACAATACCGCTGCTAATTCAGCAGACTTGAAGCTCACTTGGAACGATTAACAATTCTCCGAGCCAAGCACACAGGCCGAAACGCGGGGTTCTTCAATTTCTCGGCTAACTACCTCCGCGCTCGTGAAGTAAGAATATCACACTTCGAACTCGTTTCCTTTCTATTTAAATCAGAATACTTCCGCTGATAATTTGAATCCTTGCGCGTTCTACTAAAATTTACATACTCTGGCATTGGCAGTTCCAGGGGAAAGTAAGGCTTGACAGGAAAGATAGTTTAAACTTAAAATAAATGTTAGTTAAAATAAATATAAACCCTACAAACTCATGTACAGATTTTAATGAATTTTGGTAGGAATATACATTTATAAAAGAGAAAGAGATGTTTCATTCAATAGCCAACGTGCGCATAATTATCAGTAAAGCTGATAATACAGGGATATCCAAAATTCACTCTGGTGATATAGAACTGAAAGTGAGTCTTAATATAGGGTATGGTCTCCTCTCACGGCCAGACTAGTCACTCAGAGTGACGGCATACTGGACAGGAGCCAGTTGAAGAGTCCCTGTGGCATCCGATCCCACTCCTGCAGCAAGGCAATTTTCAACGCCGAAATGGATTTCGGAGACGAAGAACTAGAGAGAAATTGCTTCCCAAGAGCTTTCTAGATATACTCTAAGGTCAGGAGATCTGGCGGACTAATCCGTGTGGGGAATATGCTTATTTTCCAGGTAATCGATTACCAGCTGAGCTCTATCTGGATGAACAATCTCGTCTATTGATAGGACCAAATACGCGCCTGAAAGATCGAATGTAGGTTTCTATGATCTCCTCTAGGAAGCCTTTGTCAAACACATGGAGGGGTGTGCGGCTGTCTATCGGTAATGCCTACCTAAATCATCTTACCTTTATTATTACAGTAAGACCCCGCTTAACGCGGGGGATCCGTTCCATCAAAGTAGAGCGTAATGCGAAACAGCGCTAAACGAGGCTATCTTAACATGTAAATAATGGAGTTAGGGGAAGATGGATAGAAAATTGGTTAGGTATTAAATTTAATAATGTTTTTTTAATAAAAATAAAACCAAACATTTATTTCTTACAAAAATAAAAACAATATATTTATAAAAACAAATAAAATTCTAAGCCAGTCAGATCATTCAGTCTATTCTGTGTTTCCAATTTTCTGCCTTTTTGTCAAGAAGGCTTTATGATAGATTGGCTTAATGGCATACTGCGTTTAATTTCGTCGTCAGTCCATATAGACAGTCGTTTTTCCACTTCCTCTATAATGTTTTTTTCTAGAACGGGTAATTCTAGTTGCAGAGCTCGACGTAGTTGCAGTTGCGGATGACAGTATTTTTTCTTTATTCTTAAGAATTGTCCTTATTGTTGAAGTTGCCAAATTCAATGCAGCACTAATTTGAGATTGACTCTCACCAGAATCTAATCTTTAATCACTTGCTTTTTAGTTTCCAGTGAAATGCTTTTTCTGGTTGCTTTTTTTTTCTTGTTTTTTATTATCACCCATGATAGAAACTAAAGATCATAATATTTGTCACTGTATTAATCGTTATAGTATTATGTAAATTTATGCTTACAATAATGTCAACAAATGTTTCAAATAATAAAAATGCGTCCGTACAGCACCGCGCCAAACAAGAAACACAACTACACTGTTTCGGATATGTTATTTGGAAACCTACCGCTGCGCACAATTTCGAGGAATCCCCGTAGTTCATGCAGCGAGCAATTTCGGGGAATCCCGAGGTTGAAATAAAAGAGCGCTAAACCGAAACAGCGCTAAACGAAACAGCGTTAAGCGGGGTCTTACTGTATTACTTTTATTATTATTTATGTGCTTTTTAATAGATCCCATGCTTGTCTGGTTGTAACCAAAAACCTTAGAAAGTGCTAAATTGAAACCAATTGAGTCCATTTTTTTTAATGAAAAGTTGCACATAATAAAATAATATACAGTGAAAGCTTGACAAAAAGTGCGTTCTGGACATAAAAGCTGACGTATTCATATAACGAAGGCATGCTAAGAAGGCGAGAGAAATACCTTATATACTTCCCCATTTAAAGGGCGACTGGGGATTAGGGGACCCAAGTGCAAAATCTTGGGGGTGGAGGTTAATCATCCGCCACCTTTTTATTTCGGGCGTCACTGTAGAGAAATCAGGTTATTTCGAAGCAGGAGAGATGAAAAATGAGCAAGGCCCTCGCCGGGACTCGAACCACGGACATCTCGAATACGCGCCGAGTGTGCTGACCACTACACCACGACGGCATGTTAAGAAGGCGGGGCTATTGAAATTGGATGGTATTAGATAAAGTCAAATATCATTTCTCGTGGTCACAAGTCTGATTCAAGAATCGATATACTTATCTCCTGGTAATGATTCTCCAGTTTGTCCAGATGAATAAGTAACAAGAACCAATACAAAAACTGGAGCTCATTTTGGCACGCAACGTACTAGAAAAGAAATCTGTGCCCCTTATATTTGATTACTGTTTAATTTACAACTGTTGTGGAATGCTCTACAGTTATCTGCTTAAAACTCGTGTAAAGTTATTCAAATATCTTTTAACGAGTAATTGATTAAGGTATATGTTAAACTTCATGGATCATAGTTGAATTTTCACATTGTTCTGTTAATCTATTCGTATTTTACAAATTATATGCGTTTGCCTGTGTTGTTTTTCATCTAAATGATGGATATGACTATTAAAAGATTTCATATACATTTAATAAAGTTTTATAAAGCACTAAAATTAATAGTAATTTAAAAAAAAACAAAATATGAAAGGTTTCAGATTTTAAATTACGCCCAAAGGAGAGTTTTTTAACATTTTGTGTGGTTAAAGCATAAAATTCAATTCAACAGCAGTATCGCAAAATAATTTAAAATGAGCGTATCTTTAGAATTTCCGATATAGTTTCGCGCGCTGGAGATTAAAATGTTTTTTCTGTACAACGTTGCCATTGCTCGCTTTGAAATCCTTGAGTTTGTTAATCAAAAATTCCTTAAAGGCTTACAAAATATGAAATCGATCATAAAACAAATTCCAAATTTCAGCTTCCAGATGCCCATATTCGCAGTAGGATTACGTCATTCAAAATTCGATGGCTATAGGTACCGTTGTTTTATCACAATGCGAGAAACATACATACATTTATGCAGATTCTTCATTATTTAATTTCTTCAGATATAATACAGGGCGGTAATATTTGGTGGCAACAGTTTGAAAAGTGAAACGGACAGTCAGAGTGATTCGACGCAAAAAACGAAAAAAATAATCTCTCAGGGCAAAGCCCCTTTGAACTAATAAATAGTAAATACAAATAAATATTGGAAATTTCAAATGGTAATGGGAAAATGATTAGATTGAATTATTCAATTACGGCAAAGCACACGAGGGCTATCTGCCTAAAGGGAGGGATGCCTTCGTGGAGGACTTTCTAAGGGAAACTGGCTCGTTTACACGTTACACATGGGGAAAAACCACGAAAACGTTCATGCAGCCAGCCCGTTTGCGGGATTCGAACCTCAGACCGAACTACCAGTGTTCAGCATCTTTACTGCTGGGCCGCTGATGGGCTGGTAATGGGAAAAGAGCAGAACAAATGGGAAATACCTTTTGCTATTAATTAGTATTCGAAATGTAAAACCTCTAATAGAAAATCCGAAAGCTTTCATAATTTATTTTTAGCCCAAAGGGCATTAACCCACAAAGGCTATTAATTTCATTTTGGACATTTTGCGTAAAAAATTTAAATGTCCGTTTCACTTTTCAAATTGTTGCCACCAAATATTATCGCCCTGTGTTATATTTAAAGAAATAAAATAATGAAGAATCTTGCATAAATGTATGTATGTTTCTCGCATTGTGAAAAAACAACGGTACCTAGAGACACCAAATTTTTAATAACGTAATCCTCCACCGATTTTGGGCATATGGAAGCCCTAATGTGGAATTTTGAATTTGTTTTATGATCGATTTCATATTTTGTAACGATTTAAGGAATTTTTGATTAACAATCTCAAGGATTCCAAAGCGACCAATGGAAACACTGCACGGAAAAAAATAATTATCTCCAGTACGTGAGACTGTGTACCGGCAATTCTAAAGATATGCTTATATTAAAATTGTAGACTTCTTCACTTTGTAGATGCTAAGTTACTGATAAACGTGAAGAATCTTAAGAACTGGTAAGCGAATAATCGCTTGAGTTCGACAAGAAACAACAAGTTGGAAGGGTAAATAACCCTTTATTATTCAGATAAGATTTAACAGAACTCCGTCTTGGAGTGTACAATAAAAGCCATCACTTGGGCTTGAATTTAAAAGGCTAAGAAGTAAACTAAAACTAGTCTAAACTAAGGAGATATAGCCGAAGCTATCAAAGTTTTAACGTAGTTGACTCCTTAAACACGAGGTGACTGCTAAGCTATCAAGGGCCTGAGTACGGCCGAGCGTAATAACAGCTTTGAGAGAGAGTAGCCAAAAAGGCGGACGCGCGCTAATGAGAATCTCTGATTCTCTCTAACTCATCAAGTAGAACTACGCGGTTAAATACCGCTCTTCCTCATTATGGATTCAGCCGTGATTCTAAAACTACCTTCTGGCCGGTAGTAGTAAGCTGAAGTTAATAATTTGACAGGAAAGGAGTTTAACTCACAATTTAACTGTTAATAAAATTAACATAATCCTTACAAAGTTATTTTGCGATATTGCTATTGAATTGAATTTTATGGTTTAAGCGCGAAGAACATGATATTTAATAAATAAAGTAACTCACAAAATATTAAAAAAAAAGTTTTTTTAACATTTTGTGAGTTACCTTTGTGTAAAATCTGAATGGCTTTGAGATTTTTTTTTAGTTAACTGAGGTCATTTGACGTTTATTTTCACTATAATTTTGCAATTTTATTGCCTACTAATTTTTGCTTTATAATGTTTGCACTTTGAATGCAATATTTACTGAAAATGTATAACTGAGATTTTTTGTTATACCTTATATCCATCGTGCTTATGAAACCCGCAATAGTTTTAGGTAATTTCTATTTAAAATGCTAATTTCTTCTCAGTTACTGAGTGCAATCTGTCAATACACTCTTCAGAAGTTTACAGTTGAACATTTATTACGGTGAAACACCGAAATCTGGAGAATGTCGACTTTCACCGGTGAATGTCATTATTCACATAGTCTCTTGGTGTATGTCCGAAATATTTTCCAAATACTCTTATTTCTGACTTACACAGGTGAATGTCGACATTCACCATGTACTAATGGTGAATGTCGAACATATAATAATATTGTATTTTCTTTTCCGTAATTCAGTCGCGAATAAACGCACTCGAGACTTGAAATAAGAACTTAAGAACATGAGAACCTAAAACACACAATACATTCAAACTGAGAAAGGAAAACAATAGAAGTTAAAAACTTACTTAATTATACAGTACGTTCTAAATGAGAAAATAAATTAACAGTCATAAAAAACTTTCTAAATTATGTGATTCAAATCTTATTTATTGCAACAACTTAAACTATTATGGCACTTTATGACCTCTCTTTTCGACTTTCACCAGAGCATATCTGTGATTGTCGACATACACCGGTGAGTGTCTGAATATACAAGAATGTAGTGAAATATTCGGTCTTTCACCGACGTATTTGGTGAATGTTGATATTCTCGGGTGAAAGTCGACATTCTCCAATTTCGGTCTTTCACGGTAACATATTCATTGTAATAATATTCAGAGCTAATATTTAAATGTCTTTTTTTTTAGGAATGAAGGACAACCATGTTCGTCACGTTTGTCTTTACCTTTCGGATTTGAAAGCCGATGTAGACAAAAATACATAAAGAAGAAACTGCTTTCATTAAATGCTGATGGACAAGGGACGTCCGAAGGAAATTTCTTCATTCCTTCCTGCTGTGTATGTGAGATCACAAGACCTAATCGTAAAAAATAGTTCATATTTTTTTTTTTTCATTTTAAAATCATGTTCTAGCATTATATGGCAGTGCCAACATCGTACGACGCAAATGAGACATCCACATTCTAGAGACAAAGCTGTTCGAAGTGCAAATGAAGAAAACTATCTAACCGAACTCTGAATTGATTCTGTTGAAAAGAAAGCTGTCTCGATTTTAAGAATGTGTGTTTGCATGAAAGCAATAACTTCACAAAATCAGCTGTGAATAGTCAGGAACAAGAACCGAATTTTTCACTATATAGAATTTCATCTGGTGAGGTTTGTAAAGCAGAATGAAACAAGCGTTCCAAGACACAGGTTAAAGAAAAAAAAAAGTTAATCTGAAATATCATTTCTTGTGTTCTAGAAAAATTTTTAAATCAAATTTTAATTTTAATTTTTTTTCTTATTTCGAAAGGTTAAAAATTAATTGTTTAATAATCAAATGTTCTTCAGAGTTACAGAAAAAGAATTTATGCTGCATCGTCGAATATCGTTTTTTAGCCCACTGGTCTGGAAAGGACGTTTTGCATCGAATCACTTTAAATGTCTGAATCTCTTTTCAAATTATTGCCACCAAATATTAGCATCCTGTATTATATTTAAAGAATTTAAATAATGAAGAGTGTGCATGGATGTATGTGTTTTTCGCATTATGAAAAAACAACGGTACATAGAGTTATCAAATTCTGAATAACGTAGCCCTCCACCCGAACGTGGGCACCTGGAAGCGTTAATTTGGAACTTGATTTATTGCATGTTTCATATTTTCTAAAACATTAACGAATTTTTCATTTAAAAACTCAACAATTTCAAAGCGAGGATTGGCAACGCTGTAAGGAATAAAACAATTTTTTGTCTCCAGCACGCGAGGCTGTCTTTCGGAAATTCTTCAATTATGCTGTTTTTAATAAATATTTTTAACTCTGTGGCACTAGTCCAAATGCTCTTGAAACCTGTATGTATATGTAAATTAAAAAAAAAACTTCCCGTTTGGACATAATATTAAAACTGAAAGCTTTCATATTTTTTCCTTTGAGTATTGTCATTTATAATAAGTTAAATAAAGCTTGATACCCATCTTTCTTAGAATGAGATTATTTATAAATGTATAACAGCCTTCTTCACCTAATTAAAATAATCAAAATTTGTTTTAGTATACAATATTAGTTTAGAATTTGAATATTTTTAAAAATATTGAACTTAAACTGCCTTTTTTATGAAATTTTTCCTGCATTGTAGTCACTACGAACCGTGGATTTGATAATTATATAAATGCAGGCTTCAAGATTGGACAAATTTCAGCCTAAATTTGGTGTTATTTTCGAGAAAACCTTTACATCTTTTAAAAACTTAAATCGCTACGATACTCTTAAGCTAACATTCTCTGGTATATAAGGCCAAAAATTGGTCTAATTTTAAATTCAAGTTGGTAGCTTTGATTATATATTTTAAGTGAAGTATCTCCAATTTGATGAAGTCGGTGATTGCACAATTTTCTCATAGAAATACTTTTACTAGCACAATGTTTTTACATATTTTTATTTCTTAAGTTAAAATGTATTCACTTTTATCCTTCACACTTCATACCATCTAGTAGCTTTCGAAGATTTCTTAGTACGAAATAAGTGTAGCATTTTTTCAACCTAATTTTTGAAGATTCAATTACAAAGGTTTCTGTTATAGACAATACATACTTTCATCTACCATATAAGGACTTAATTTAGCCTTAAAGTGGTAAGTTGTTCTTACTGAAACCGAATTTAGAAACTGAGGTGGATTTTGTATTAATTATATTAGTATTAGATGACGTCATTTGAACAAACGGTCTGCGATTATTAAATGAATGCTTGTTGCTGCTTCTGCAGATTGCTCTGTTCAATGGATAAAATGTCAACCTTCGATCATTCTGTGTACATAACTTATTGTATTATTGTTGTTTCTTTGTACAAGTCTCGAATAAAGCATGTTTCAACAAATACTTTTGATTTGTGTCTTCTTTTTAACATTTTATATTTTACCTATACTGTTTGGCCATTAGATTTTTTAAACTAGTCCACACTTTCGAATACATTGTTTCGTATAGTTACGTTTTCAATTAACGTACCGCTTTATGACGATTCACATAACCAGTAGAAACTTGTTATCATTAACGTCCGCAGATCGTTGCTTTCCAGTTCCATGTATTGAGCTATAAGGTTTCGTTTAAGTTCTGTAACCAGTTATTTTATGTTAAAACCGCTTTCCTATCTCCCTCATTTCCAGCTTCCTGCCAAAATGTAAATTTCTAACTCGCGTGATATCCAAATGAGGTGGAAAGAAGGCACCATTTAAAAAAAAAAGATTTAGAGGGTAGAAGAGAGTGTGTTCTGCCTGCTGAACGCCACGGTGCTAATTTGATTTCCTCGCGAAAAGTATTCTGCGGCGCTGCATTATTCTCGCCATTACGCTTGGAACGCCGAACTTAGGTCACAGCCAGCTTGCGCGTTGTTCTAATTTTGCGGCCGTTCCTTATTTTTTGGTACTTAGAAATAGTGATAATTCGCTTTTAGTCTTGAGAGTTCTTGTACATTTGATATTATCAAAGAATACAAGATTCTATAGAGCTACTTCACCAGCTTTAACTTGTTGCACATTTCACAGTATTAGCACAGCCATTGCGGTAAGAACAACAGTTAAATGATAGGTTATCGCTGATAGGCTGGTTGGTGCCCTCGTCAAGTACCGCTGTAGGAAAGAATCATAATTCCAGAAAAGTGAAAAATATCAAAAGTTCATATTTGCCATTTTTGTTAATAATTTTGTTAGAGTGGCAGCATTTGGGGCTCAGAGTAAACTGATTTACGAGATTTCCGGTTATAAACTGAATCTGTATAGTAATAATAATAATAATGTTGCAGAGACGTTATGTTATTTCGAAGCAGGAGACATGAAAAATGAGCAATGCCCTTGCCAGGACTCGAACCTCGGACCTCTGGAATACGCACCGAGTGTGCTGACCATTACACCACGAAGGCATGCTAAGAAGCGGGGAGAAGTACCTTATAATGTAATAATATAAATTACCATTTAACATGTGTAAGATCATCTTTGGTCTTTTATATCCGAAGGATTTAAATTTCCTCAGTATGTTTAATTTTTATTAAGATGAGAATTAATTTTGATAAATTAACCATATTTAGGTACCAATTCTTAAATACATCTAATAGGTATCTTACATTACTGATAAAAGTGTCTTTATTAAATCTGCAATAAAGCAAATAATATTTATTAACATTTTTACAGTTTTTGTACTCATTATTTTCCTTAATGGAGAATTTTAAGTTTAAAAATTGTACTTCGTTCGAACAAATATGGAAAAATTTATTCTAATCAGTTTTATGAGTATATTTTTCACGGAAAACTTACTTTAAAATTTTCATACTAAATATGCAATGCTTTCAAAAAAATATTTATTCTGAAATGCATAGAAGGGTTTTAGTTAAAATTATCATTAATTAAAGATTGAAACTGACCAATTATCAACACGGAACTTAATAATAATTGGTCGGACTTTATATTCTGACCAATTAATAATGTTTGGTTTATTTGTGCTAACAGAACGAAATGATCACATTTAATTTAATATGCAGTTCCATAATATAAGTAAGAGCAAACTAAAAGTATCTGAGAGAATAAGTCTTTGTTTAAATAACAAATGTTTAATAGTCATGTCATAATTCTTTTGTTATTAAGGCAATCAAAATATCTACTAGACAAGCATTTTTAAACGATTTGCTTGGCTGCGATAATGATGCGGAGTAATTTAAAAGAAAAATTAAAACTCTTATTCCAGGTGGACTGCACCATTTTGTTAATAAATCACAACTTGTCTTTTCATACGAGCCGAAAAATTCATTAATTTACTAATGACTTTTCCAGCTTCAAAGTGCAGCACACAGAATATAATGTTTTGAATGTGGCATTTTAAACGAACAGAGATGAAGTTGTCGTCAACGCTACGCCCAATCAATACATGAGAATAATTTAATAAATTAAATGATAGTTCCAAAATGGATTAGACATATTTTAATTCACAATAATAAAAAAAAGATTAGGATTACAAACATTAAAAAGCAAACCTTTTATCTTTATACCTATATTTCTGTTGCTATTCTAGAGAAACTACGCTACAGCAAAGAAAATATTATACGTAGAACATTAAGCAGTAAACCTTTTTTATCTTTATATATTCTTGTTGCCATTCTAGACAAACTAATCTTCGCGACAAAGAAAATATTATAGGTAGAACATCAAGCAGTAAACCTTTTATCTTTATATATTCTTGTTGCCGTTCAAGAGAAACTAAACTTCTACAACAAAGAAAATATTATACGTAGAACATCAAGCAGTAAACCTTTTATCTTTATATATTCTTGTTGCCATTCTAGAGAAACTAAACTTCGCGACAACAAAGAAAATATTATACGAAGAGAGAACTGTTACAAACTAAATATGTTATTTTTGGCAAGGAAGAACTCTACCGTACAAGAAATTTGCTATAGTTTGATACGAAAAACGTTTCCAATTTTTTGAACTTTTCTAAAGTTTATTATAAAAAGCATACTACTTGACCCTTATTTCATTCAAATTTAGTTCATCCCTTTTAGCGCTTGGAAACTGAATCTAGCAAAATCCATGAATATTAAAAATGTTTCAGACTTCAGTAGTTATTATTATCATGCGAGTTTTCTAATTTTCTTTTAAATGTACACATTTTAACTACTATTTACTTAATTTTCGCATCATCGAATGGACAATGTATTCATAAAATAATGCATTTTATTTAAAATGGTGGCATATAGAACAGGAAATTGTTTATTTCTTTTTCTTTTCTATTATTAAAATTTTATTTCAATAATCAGTAAAGAAATTTTCCTTGCACAATTTTCGACAGATTAAAATTGTTTTCCTTGTACACACGAATTCACAATTCTATGAATTCTTCCATCTAAGTACCACACGTTATACGACTTTAAAGAAACGACAAACAGGAAACTTCGCATTTTAGTTAAATAATCTTTTCGGTCACAGTTCAAACCCTTCTTCCAAGGTCGACTTTTCAACGCGCCTCTAAAATTGTCTGTCAATATAATGACGGTCGAATTAACTTCATACAACTTTATCTTACCTTCTGGATGAAGATTAGACAAGCATGGTTAGAGACGTTATCTTAAACAGGGCTTTTTAAAAGCTATTTATAATTCGATTTAAAAGTATGAAAGATGAAGATTTAGCAATTGTTCCTGACAAATTACTGTTAAAAATATGTCTTCTGGGGAAAAAAAAAATTATACGTAAATGTCCATAAATGACAGAAATTACGTGTAGTTTATCGTAAGGGGAATTTTCTACGGGTTATTCAACCTCATATGAAAAAAAAAAGAGTCATGATAATTTTAAATTTGATAAGAAACAAATAAGGTATAGGACATAAACTTCCACAAGCATTTAAATTACTTGGCCAAAATCTAACATTATTTGCATTGCAGGTTATCTACCTTTCGTTTTAAAGATTACCTTGTAGAAATTGTTCAGATAATTATAAATTCTTTGGAATTCTTTGGAAATATAAGTTTTATTTATCGTGTGTATAACATGACACAATAAATGTCATCATTCAATAACATTGTAGAAACATTAGGTATTTTGGAAGCAAAAAGATGAAAAATATGCAACGCCTTCGCCGATCTCTGGAATACGCGCCCAGCGTGCAGACCACCACACCACGAAGGCATGCCAAGAAGGCGGGATAAATACCTTATATACTCCCCCTTTTAAAGGGCGACTGGGGTTTTCTTTTAGAGGACCCAATCGCCAAGTCTTGGGTGAGGATCATCATTCA